TTCTTAAGGTGGAGCCTGCGCTTGCTGAGTCCTGGCTCACCCCTGGCTTGCTTGTGCTGCCCCAGGATCTGGCAGATAGCATCAGGATCCTTATCTCAGGAACGAGCTGGCATTCTCTTGGCCTGGAGCTCAAAGAGGCATCCCCAGGTCCCGTTAGAGTCCCAGCGGCCAGCCTGCCTGGAGCCTAGCTGCACAGGGTGTAGCTGCGCCAAGGTTCTGAGGGGAAGTTCAGCCACACCGAAGGGGTGGGGTCGGGGTGTGGAAAGGGTCCTTGCTGGCTTCTCCAGAGCCAGGTTAAGTCTGCCAGGCAGGGCTCCTGTGGATATGTCTGGTCTTGAATGAACACACATGGGGCTTACACGAGCACACAGTGGGCGTGCCTTTCAGATGACTTGTACTGTGTATGTGCAGATGCGTGTCTCTGTATGGATCTGACCGTACCTGCTTGTGTAGGAACGTGGGACCGCATCGAGATGTGTTTGTATTCTGAAGGCTTGTTAGAATGTGTCTTAGTGTTGACTTGTTTGCCCGCCATGGGGCGTCATTGTGTGTGTGTGTGCACGCACTCATGGTGCTAAGCGTGACTGTGGTCCCAGGACACAGAAGGGCAGAGCAGACGTCTTTGTTACCTCAAACAGGGGTGCAGCTGGAGAGTGAGCAGGAGGCAGGGTTTGGGGCCTGAAGGAGGGCTAATGGAGCCAGGAGTCCAGGCTGAGTGCTGGGGGTGGAGCCCAGGCTACTCCCCCTTCTCATCCCTCTGGAGAGGCCCAACCGGTTGGGGCTAGTGCTTGCCTAGGGCTTCAGGGCAGGGAGAAGGCGGAGCTCAGTCCTGAGCTTCCAGATCCTGGCTCTTGGCCCCAGCCACCTGCTGCTGCCCGGGGGTGAACATGTGGGGGCGACTGTCCCTGCCCACCCATCACACAAGGCGAAGGAAACACTGTCCACAAAGTCACATGTCATCATACAAGACTCACACTGTCCTGCAGGTCCATGATAGTCCCAGGCACACGGCATCAGTTACTACCACGCACCAACACCAGGCACCCGGTCCCAGCTGCTCACGGTCACACAGGGCACACACTGTCACCAAGAGTGACTGCTCAGGCACCTACCGCTGCACACGACCACCCGGAGTCAGACCGCCCCAGACACCCAGTCTTCTGCTTCTCAGGCAACTCGGGCCCCCAAATGCCACGGTGCCACGGTACCTTCCTTCCTGCCAGCAGACAGGGACACCTCACAGGGCCTAGGCAGTGTCCAGACAGGTGACTTTTACCAGTCAGGTTCTTGTGTTAGAGCTTTTTTTTTTTTTTTTGGGGAGAGCATTTAACAACACCGTGTGCTCCAAATACCTACACACACACACACACACACACACACACAGAGTGTAAATATATAAGCAGACACTCTAGACGGCTGTGTGTAAAATATCCCCACAATACACTACGCAACCACAAATATTCATAAGCACATACCTACACATGGATACATGCTGACACTTGCAAACACACAGTCAAGCATATACAACAGCCACACACACATAATATGCACGCCTATGCAATCATAGAATATATACGTGTGTCCACAAGCAGGCAGACACTGCCACGTGAGAAAACATGCAACACAGGTATGCACAAACATGCCTAGGCCAATTCATGCACACCCATAAGAGCAGCCCTCCTCCCTGTGGAGCCCCCACTGAACCCTGGGGTGCAGCTGATGGAATGTGGGTGGGCGGAGCTGAGGCTGCGCACTCAGGGCACTCAGAGGGCTCTGCTCCCCTCCCTAGCGCTGCTGTCTGCTGTGCGGATCAACGGGGATGGCCAGGAGGTCTTGTACCTGGCAGAAGGTGATAACGTGAGGCTGGGCTGCCCTTATATCTTGGACCCTGAGGACTATGGTCCCAATGGCCTGGACATCGAGTGGATGCAGGTCAACTCAGACCCCTCACATCGAGAGAACGTGGTGAGTGCTGGGCACGGGGCTCGCCTTACTCTACGCTTGGTGGAGTCCTCCTGGGGGGCGGCTGACACTCTGTGTGGAGGGGGGAAAGGGGGAAAGCAAGACCTCGAGCTTCCCCCAAGGCCTCTCAGGGAATGGGGCCATGGGTGGCTGTTCTGTAATCCTGATTGCAGGCAGCTAGGCTACCTCCTCCCAGCCCACCCTGAGGGGAAGCTGGGGCATGTCCTCCTCTCCTACTTCCCAGCCTGACCCCTCTGCTTCCCAAAGTGCTGGATCTCATCTGATCTCCCTAAGAGGTCAGAGAATCAGACATCATTGTTCCCATGTTTTGGCTGAGAAAAGTGAGTCTTACAGACATTCAGCAAAGTACCTAAAAATAGTCAACCCACACGGCCCTCTTTGACTTCTCTTGTCTCACCGCCTTGTCTCCTGCTCTTCTTCACAGTTCCTTAGCTACCAGGACAAGAGGGTCAACCATGGGAACCTCCCCCACCTGCAGCAGAGGGTCCGCTTTGCAGCCTCAGACCCCAGCCAGTATGACGCCTCCATCAACCTCATGAACCTGCAGGTGTCTGACACAGCTACCTATGAATGCCGGGTGAAGAAGACCACCATGGCCACCCGGAGAGTCATCGTCACCGTTCAAGGTATGGCTGGACTCCTCTGGGCTCCCCTTCCCCAGGCTTCAGACCCAAGGGCAGCTTGGCTGCTCTGAGCCTTCAGTCTTTGGACTGGGCCCTGGCTCACAAGCGCCTGCCTCTTTGCAGCCCGTCCTGCCGTGCCCATGTGCTGGACCGAGGGCCACATGACCCATGGCAACGACCTGGTGCTGAAGTGCTTCGCCAACGGGGGCTCGCAGCCCCTGTCCTACAAGTGGGCCAAGATCAGTGGACACACTCATCCGTACCGTGCTGGGTCCTACCACTCCCAGCACAGCTTCCACTCTGAGCTGTCCTACCAGGAATCCTTCCATAGCTCCATAAATCAAGGTGCGGGGCCCTGGTGAGGGGAGATGGGGCTGAGTGGAAGACGAGGGACTCCGACCCGTGTTGGGGCTTCCCTGGGGTACCACTGGCACCAAGTTGCACCTGGAACCCCTGTGGGAGAGTCCTGCCTTGAGCCTGTCCTGGCAGCTGCTACTGAGAGAAGGCAAAGTGAGAAGTCAGTCAAAAGCAATGTGGCTAACTCGGAAAAAGCACCGTCCGAAATGCACAGAGCCGGGCTTGAACCCTGGCTGGGACATGACTGGCTGCGAGTCTCAGGCAAGCGGCTCGACCTTCTGTGCCTTGATGTCTTCATGTATGTCAAGGGGATGCGGATACTTCCCCTTCGGGAGTGTGCGAGGATCACATCACAGAGAGAAACCAAAAAATACCCCTGTCAAAGAGTATCAGAGCTAGAAGGGGCCGCAGATTTCCGGTGGCCTCACCATGGCCTCACCGTACGAATGAGAATAAGGCTCAGAGAGATTAATTCCATAAGGCCACAGAGTGCATTGATGATGTCAGGGAGAGGGGTCCTTCCTTGCCTCTGGATCTCAACAGGGGGAAGGAGACTCACCTGTGGAGTGAAGTGCAGGGGTGTGCGTGTGTGTGCATGGGCTGTGTGCATACACCTTCCCTCCTTCTGGAGTGGGTGTCCCATTTCCCAACCCCACAGGTGCTGAGGCTGGGGTGGGAGCTCTCAGAGACCGCGTCCCCCTCCCTCACGCTACCCTTCTGATGCTCCTTAAATTGCAGGCGCAAGCAACGGGGACATGGTGTTGAAGGACATCTCCCGGAGCGATGACGGGCTGTATCAGTGCACCGTGGCCAACAACGTGGGCTACAGCGTGTGTGTAGTGGAGGTCAAGGTCTCAGGTAGGTGCGGCAGCTGGGAGAGCTGGAATCCAGGCGCCTGGGCCCTATTTTGCAGCTTCCCTGGGCTGTGCCTCTTAGCCCAGAGCAGCTGGAAGCCCTGGGAGAAACATGCAGATAGAAGGGGTTAACCCAATCTCACTGGGCGTCCCAGGTCAGGGAGATCCCGGATCCCTCATCTCTTTCCCGCAGACCCCTGCCCCGCACCTCCTGCTGGGTCAGGGGAGAAGCCTGACAGCCTTCTCCTCTCTCCACAGACTCCCGGCGCGTGGGCATGATCATCGGTGCGGTGCTGGGCTCCCTGCTCATGCTGGCCTGCCTGGCCGTGGGCATCTGGGGGCTGGTCTGCTGCTGCTGCGGGGGCGCCGGGGCTGGGGCCCGCGGTGCCTTCCGGTCCTCGCCGGGGTCGGCGGCGGGGCCTGCGGCGACTTGGCTAGTGAGATCAGGTAAAACCTGATGCATGCTGCATGCTGCTGAGCGGCAGGGGACCGGCGCCCTGCCCTCCTCACCCCTGCCTGCCACCGGCCGGCTGGGATCCCCACCCCAACCCTGCTCGCCACCGCCACGGAGTGCTGGGACTGCAGCATGTCGACCTGCCACTCGCCGCATGGCTTTCCTGTCCCTCCTCCTCCCCACTCCCGTCTTCACCTCTGCTCTCCTGCCCTCCCTCTCCGTCCCGTCTCTGCACCTCCCTGCCTGTCTGGTCTAGACTGTAAGCTCCTGGTGGGCAGGGCCTCTGTGTTCTCTCGTTTCCCTGTATCGCGCCGGTGAGAACTCGGACATGCTTATTTATGAAGAGTTAACGATAAGAATAGTGCGAATAACCTATATTAGAAGCAAACTAGAAATAAAAATAGAACAACACTAGCAGTGCTAATGATTGCAATGCCTTAGGGACGGAGGGAAAGGTGAAGACTGAGGGCCAGAAGGTGAGGAGGAGAGGAGGAGTGAGAACGGAAGGTCAGGATTAGTCACGGAAGGGAAGGGAGGCAGCTCCTTTCCGACCTCAGTTCGAGGCCGCGGGTCTGCGAAGTATCAGAAGAGGACTGCGGGCGCCTGGATGGGGCTGCCCAGTGTAGGCGCTGTCCCGACACTTGTGGACGAGCCCTGCGTGGAGGATGGGAACGGTGGCCTCGGGACACCGCTGCGGGGTCGCTGGCCCAGGAAAGGCTAGAGAGAAGAGAGTAGGTTGACACGGAGGGAGAGGGGTGAGGGCAGGTGGAGGGAGGCACGGGAGAACGAGGTTGCCAAGAGCCCCCAGCTCTGCCCAGGCCGTGCCCACGCCGCGCCGCGGAGGAGCCCGCTCACGCGCCCGCCTGTTGTTTTCCACAGAGAGGACGCCGTGGCGCCCAGGTGCAAGGCCAGCGGGCGCGGGAGCAGCGTCACCCATCTTCTGGGGTACCCGACGCAGAACGTCAGCCGCTCCCTGCGCCGCAAGTACGCGCCTCCGCCCCCAGAGGACGTGGCCCTGGCGCCCTGCACCGCCGCCACCGCTGCCTGCGAAGCGGGCCCCTCCCCGGTCTACGTGAAGGTCAAGAGCGCCGAGCCGGCCGAGTGCGCCCAGGCGCCGCAGCCGTGCAAGGACGGCCTCTTGGTGTGAGCGCGCGCCGGGCTGCGCCCCGGCCGGGAGGAGGGCGCGGGGCTCTCGGCCCGCAGCTGGGGACACGTGGGGGCCGGCGCCCACCTTGCTGGTCCCAGCCGCCCGGCGGTTGGGGGCTGAAGGCGTCTCCCTAGGGGAATGCGTAGGGAGGCAGAGCCTTCTCCCGCAGTGGGAGGGGGCGGACGATCGCAGAGGAAGGCGGTCCAGAGCCTTCCCCGCCGCCCGGGGCCTGAGGCTCCGGGGCAGGAGAGGGAGGAGAAGCCGAGTCAGAGTCGGAGAGCAACTGAGGCCGGAGGCCGGTGTCCCCAGTCAAGGCAGAGGGCCCCCGGGGCCGGGAGGGTGGGGATCTGGACTGGATGGCTCTATGTGTGAGAGCTGAGCTCGGAGGCAGCAGTGTTAGCACAATAAAGACACTTTTAGACTGGAGACGGAGGTGGCAGTCCGTGTTCCGCGGGGGTTGGGCAGGGGTGGAGGGCCCGGCCTAGGGACGGGAGAGGTTGCTTCCTGTCGCTCCGCCTCCTCCCTGCGCTCAGGGTGGCAGCCGTCAGGGCTGGAAGAGGGCATCTCATCTTATTCTTCGCCTTACAGATGGGGGGATTTGAGACTCCTCAGGCTGGACTTTGGATCCAGAATCCTGCTCTTCCTTTTCAGCCCAGAAGATCAGAGGAGAGAAAATGGGGCTCTGAAGGTTCCCCGGCTATTTTCTGCAGCACCCTCCTTTCTCCTGCCTCCTCTGCCTAAGCCTGTCTTCTCTGTCTCTGCAGATGAACGCCTTCCTTCGCCACAGTCAGGAAGGGTTTCATAGCCAGACTCTGGGGGTAGAAAACATTCAAGGCCTCCCACTTAGCCCTCTCTTTTTTTTTTTTAATCTTTTGTGTGAAAGCACCCCTATGTGGGATGGTTATGCCACAATCTCTTCTCCCATGCACACAAGCCGGCCATGGTTTTTGTTGTTGTGGTTGTTGGTCTTTTCTCAGCGGACAGGTGGGGACTCACTTTGGGCAGTTGGTCTTGTGGGATCCAGTCGCCTTAACCACCATGGCTGGGGCCCACTGTGACTGGCCCAGTCTTCCTTTTCATGGGAAAGGGATGGACATGTATTGAGCATCACTAAGTGCCATGTGCTTTCTGTTTCATCTCATTTATTCCTTACTTTAACTGGGTCCGAGGGTACGGCATTATCCCGGCTACACTAGCTGAGAAAAACAGGCTCAGAGGGACTAGGGGATCTTCATGAAGGTGGCAAAGATACTAATCCAGGATTTGATCTAGGCATGTTTGACTCCTGGACATCAGGCTGTTTCTTTTTTTTTCCTTTATTTTTTTGAAGGGGAGGTTTTTCTTTATTGGGGGCTCAGATGGTCAGAGGTCCTGTGACTCCATAATATACTGAGGCTGAAGGAATATGCCTTATTACCTCTGGATCTCATGCCCTCTCCCAAGGTAGAGGAAATCAACCAACGCCCACCCTCTAGCCCTCCCCATTGACACTCTTTTTTTTTTTTGAGAAGTTTTTGCTATAGGGCGCGTGCGCTCGCTCACCAGAGAGACAGAGAGAGACAGAGAGACAGAAAGTGAGAAATCACCCCCCAGGAGGAATGGCCACACCACAATCCCTTCTCCTCCATGCTCCCCTCAGGATCTTGGGCACACATGCACACGCACCTGGTGTGAGTCTAAGCCACCAGGTCTGGGACTTGAACTACGGTCGACTACTTGGGAGTCCAGCGACATAGCTCTTTAGTCAACTGCTGGTCCTCCCACTGACACTCTTAAGGCCCTCCCCCAGTACTCTCCCAAAAAATGCCTCTCCACCACTACCCTCAACATGCACAAAGTTAGGTCCAACATAGGCCAAAGTTAGGCCAAGCAAAGAAATCCGCAGGAACTCTTCTTGGTAGAACCAAAGCCAGAGGAGCCCGCCACAGCTGCCATCTCATCATCTCCTCAAATGTTAAATCCTCAGCCCTCCTTTTCTTCTCCTTCTGTTTCTTTCTTGTGTGCTTTGGCCTTTTCCTCTCTTCTCTGAGCTCCTTCATCCTTTCCTCAAAATCATAGTCCTTTGCTTCTCTTCTGTCTTCTTGTTGACTTCAGAACGTTTCTTCACCTGATCCAGGGTAGAACGTTCCACACGCATAGACATGTCCAGGCTTCACTGATGTTTCTTTCTGTAAGTGTGATCCAAAAAGCTGCTGGAGTCCTTCCCTGCACAGTCACACACACTGCGGCAATAACCTCCCACCTCTGACTGTGGGGTGATCTTGGCAATGACAAGTATCTTCCCAAGCATGGATTCCAGGTCCACTCTGTAGTCCCTGTGCCACAAAAGCTCCCGCTTGACTGGCTGCACAGGTTTTCCATCCTTTTCTCTCTCTGTGAGCTTCTTCTCGGCAAGCTTCTTGTGTTCATCTTTGTCCCACTTTCAGCCAAAGCCCAAGTTCTTTTTTGTCCGGCTGCCCAACGCCATCTTCACAGCAAAGTCTTCAGGCTGGTTCTTGATATATGAATTCCTTCTGCAGTATTCCTGACCAAAGCTATTCTAACCTCTGCTTGAATACCCTACCTCTCGAAGGAGGTCATTTGGCCTCTGTCAATATTCAAAATAGTATTTATTGAACCCAGTCCCAGATAGTTTTTATTTCTTGGTCCAAGTCCTACTCTTTGGAAGCCCAGAGCATTGCATTTCCAACTCCAGCTGCCGTCGGTGGACAAAGTGGTTGTACCCCATGTGGAAGGGCTGCAACCAGCACACACCTGGTCGAGTGCCAGGTCTAGAAGTGGGGGGGTTTCCGAAGAGCACAGTACTTCAGGGCCTCTTAGTTCTCCTGCCTTTCCCAGCCACCTCTCTGTCCAGAGCCCAGACTCCTCTTTTTGTCCCTTTGCTCCTGAGAAAAAGCTGGTCTTCCCAATTCTTCTTGCTCCTGCCCTCAACTATGTGAAGTGTAGATGATGCATTGGCCACAGAGTAGCTGGACTTAGGAAGTCCCCAAAACCTGCTTGGCAGTATATGACCAGAAAACCCCTGAGGTAGCTTGACTATGTGCAGAGGGCATGGCATTGCTGGCTCTGCCTTGATAGCGCTTGGGAGGGAAAATGAGAGATGACGATGGGACAAAGGGAACCAGAGGCAATGACTCGGGAACTGGGGAGGTGGGGGGGTTCCTGGAGTTAGGCAGGGGTACAGGTGCGAAAGGGAAAAGAGAACTCCAAAAACTATTCGTCCCTCCATTTCTTTGGTCACGTTTTTGAGGACCTATAAAAAGATGGCTCGTTCACGGGCAGAGAGTGAGTTTCAGTAGGGCACTGTGCCTGCCACACTTCTGCCCTGAGGCAGGCGACTGGTGAGGGTGCTCCCAGTCAGAGGAGCCTCCAGCTCAGACTGCAAAGTGGTGAGAGACAGAGACAGCCAGCTGGCTGTGCACGCAGTGTTGAGTGCTATCTTCTTCGCTCCAGGGACCAGGGAGCCATGCTTAGACGAGACTTTTTTTTGTCTGAGGCTCTGGCAAGAAAAGCTCATTAAAAAGCAGCAAGAGCGATTTTTAGAGAGACTCTGGAAATAACTTCCTGCTAGGATGAGTCAACAGGGAAGCCAGGGAAGTTCCTAAATCCCAAGCTGAGATGCATTCATCACTGTAGTCACCGCCCTGTGGCCATGAGGGAGGGGAGTTTCTGCTCCAATAATTTGGCTTCGGGGATACGTTGGTCATCTTTGTTCATTTCTCCTGCGTGACAGCTTGTTCAGTGCTGGAGAAGACTCCTGGTGCTAAATGTTTACCATGGCACTGGGAGGGGGCGGGAGACAGGGAAGCCCCGGGTTGTAGCATTTGCCCATTTCCATGATGTAAATACTCCCACGGTGGCAGATTTGCAGCTCCCAGTGTGATGTCGGCTCGCTGGGAGTTGGGAGGAATATTCATATGCACGCAGGTGCAGATGGTATTCCCATGATATGAAGCCATGGGAGACGCATCAATAAGTAACCTCCAGAGCATGGGTCATAGTGAACTGTGGTAAGATAATCAGGAAGTGAGTTTTCAGTACTTATCACCTTTGATTTATTGATAGTATCATTTACCTAATTGTAAGTTCATATAATTTACTTTTTAAGAAGGGCCACATGCAAGAACTGGCTTAGGTGGGACCATGTCACCAGACAAGCAGAAGGTTGGCACACAGCTCTGCTTCAAGAGAGGCATCTTAAATAACAATCCTAATTTTTCTCTATTTCTTTTTTTAATTTTTATTTTGGCAGAGGGCACTTACACATGCCAGAGAGAGACAGAGAGAGGGAGGGAGGGAGAGAGAAAGCACTCCCTCAAGGGGGCATGGTTATGCTGCAGTCCCTTCTCCTCCATTTCTCTATCCTATTAGGATTCTGAGTGCACACACATACCCCATGTGATTTTCAAGCTGCTGGGGCCAGGGTTTGAACCATATAGTCAGCCATATGAGATCATGCTCTTTCTCTCTCTTTTTCACTTTTTAAAAAGAATTATCTGTTCAACTTTTATTATTATTATTATTACTATTTTTAATTTGATGAGAGAGAGAGAGGAAGTAAGAAAGCAAACCACCTGGTCCAGGACTTGAACTTGAGTCACCACATCCTTGGCCACGTGGGAGTCCAATGCCTTAACCACCATGCCACCTGTCAGCCTGGGATCTTGCTCCCTTAGCCACCAGCCATAGGCCAGCATTTTCCTCTGTGTTTCCAGAAAGACACAAACAACACAAACTCGGTTGTCTCCATTCTTCTGCTTCCTAGTCCTTCGATCTCACTTTCTAGTTCTGCTTTGTGTCTCTCCTGAGCTTTGCTAGAGGTGAATTTTAGTTCCAATGCTTACTGTAAAATTATTTAGACAATCTCCTTGGCACTAGATCACTCTTTTGGGAGCCGTCGGAAACCAAACATGCAATCCGCAGAATTTCTATGCATGTGTCTCCCAGGACACCCAGTCACGGGACATCTGTTCAGGAGACATTGCTGGGTCCTCATTGAC